ACTCATGGTAGAGCAGCTCAGCGGGACATACCAGGCCAAAGATACTCTTCTGCAATGATATTTCCATGTGACATCACAACAGATCTCGTCCTTCGACGAGTTCACTATACATCATGTACCGCAGAGTTTCAGAGTGTGTTTAGGTCGTTCTTGGAGATCAATGCGATGCGAAAATCGCATAGGATCTGTGACTTTTCCGTCTCCAAGTTCATCCGGCTCGAGCCTTGTTGGCCCGATGAGCGTGTCTATATGGGGGGTCCTTCTGACCCTCCTTTCTTTTATCTGTACCAATGTATTTTTAGGGATTTAGGTGTGTGTCTTCCCTTTTCACAATTTGAGTGTGATTTTTTGAATTTTATCAACTCGGCACCTTACCAGTTGCACCCCAACAGTTGGGGTTTTTTTGCGGGCTTTTCAAGTCCTGTGTTCGGCCTTGGGGATAGAGGTGTCTCTGCCCATTTTTCTCCATTTTTACCAGTTAAAAATGGGTGTTCCTCCTTATGGCTTGATGTCCCTGAGTGGGAGTAAGGCTGGGGGTCTACTTTCCCTTTACTCCCAGTCGTATAAAAATTTTAAACAAGAGTTCTTCCAGGTAGCGCTTGTGGATGTCAACCCGTTGGAGGATGGGGTGTTCTATTTTGGCGGGTTGCCGAAGCTCCCCTTCTATTGGCGGCCAACCCCGTTTAGATTTCACGGGGTGGAGAATTTGCAATTGTCGGCTTCAGAGTCCGTTGTTATTGCAAACCTTGAGGCGTTCCCTCGTCCCTTGGATTGCAAGCTCGTCCTATCGCTTGCTAATTCGGCGTACAAGGAGAGGGGTCTAGAGAGTGAGTATCTTGTCCTTTTCAGGTGTTAGGGTTTGTAAGGGTTTCTGTTACTGATGTATTTGATTTCTTGTGTTTGTAGGCATAATGGGCAGGAACAAGTGGCATGAGTTGAAGCACCGCTACAACATCGCCGAAATTGAAGTTCCAGAGCCTCAAGAGGAGGAGGTGGCCCCCCTCGTCTTCTAAGGCACGCACCCAACCTCGGGAAGAATTGGCGAGCTCCCGCAGCTCACTCGCTTGGGCAGCGTGAGTCTCATTGGACCTCAGAGCAATCTCTAAGGACTTCTGAACCCTCTCCACCTCCCTCCTGGTAGCTTGCAGCTCGGCCTCGTTCTGCATCTTAGCATCCCCAAGAGCGCCCGCCAAGGCCCGGTTCTCTTCCTTCAAGGCTTTGTTCTCTTCCCTCAAGGCCTTGGCCTCTTCCTTCAAGGGCTGAACTCGGCCCTTCAGTTTTGCCAGGTCCTCCTGCTGCTTGGACCACTTATGCTTCCAGTGGTCCACGATAGCCATGGTCCTCTGTAGAAAGACCTCGGCAACATCAAGGCCTTCCACGGGCCCGACCTCTTCAATCATTCCCTGATCAGCTGAGCTCAACTAGCCCCCCGAGCTCCGAAGACCGTAGGTCGAGGAGTTATGGCCGAGCTTGCTGGAGGGAAGTGACCCTTCGCGCACGTTGGCCTGTCAAGGTGCCATGTGTCGTAACTGTCGCTTCTCATTTCGATAACCGAGGTCGGAGCGTTAACGGGCGTGACAGTTATGTAATGATGGCCTCATTTAATGCGTGATCAGGTGTGTCCCCTAGCTGACACGTGTTGTGGCCGTTTGGATTTTGGAAAACCCCATTTTCTCTCACTCGTGCCTCTTCACTTTTCACTTTACTCATTTTCGCTCTTTCATCTTCTGGCGCACGCCGTTTCTCTTGTTTCCGTTTCTGCCATCGTTTCCAGTTATCTGGTTGTTTGTTAGGGTTGTTTTCCGGGGAGGAGTACCGGGTATCTCCTTTCTACGGTTTTCTTTCCCTTTCTTCACATCTCCTCTTCGAGTCTTCTTGTTTCTCTTGATGGCTGGTGGACGTGGCGCCGGTTCTTCTGCGCCTGTCAGGGGAAAGCCGCGCGGCAAGGTGGTGGCTACCGGGAGAGCCGTCGCCGAGAGGAGAGACCCACCACCGCCCAAGGACCTAGAGCCAGGCGTTCCTGGCTACGACTGGGTTAAGCGCGAAATGGGGGGGTCCAAAGTGTGTTCAAATCGCTTCTGGAGGTCAATGCGGTTTGGGAGACGCACCAAATTTGCGACCCTTCCATTTCCCGGATGATTCGACTCGAGCCCTGTCTGGACGGTGAGGGTGTGTACATGGGGAGGTCTACTGACCCTCCTTATTTCTATGTCTACCAGTGTCTCTTTAGGGACCTGGGCGTCTATCTTCCTTTCACTCAGTTTGAGTGTGATTTTTTAAACTACATCAACGCGGCTCCTTGCCAGCTGCACCCCAATAGCTGGGGTTTTTTGAGGGCGTTTCAAGTCCTGTGTGCGGTCCTAGGGATAGAGTTGTCCCTTCGCGTTTTCCTTCACTTTTACTAGTTGAAGCTGGGTGTTCCGCCTTATGGCGTTCTTTCCTTGAGCAGGAGTAAAGAAGGGGGTTTATTCACTCTTTACTCCCATTCTTATAAAAACTACAAACCCGAGTTTTTCCGGGTTGCCCTTGTGGACGTTGAGCCTTTAGAGGATGGGGGCTTCTACTTCGGTGGACTGCCGAAGTTCCCTTTCTACTGGTGCCCCAAACCGTCTAGGTTTCACGAGGTGGACCCTTCGCAATTGACGGCTTCGGAGGCTGCCGCCATTAGGAATCTTTCGGCACTTCCTCGCCCGTTGGATTGCAAGTCGATCTTGTCGCTTGCGAACTCGGCGCACAGGGAGAAGGGCCTGGAAGGTGAGTATCTTGTATTTTCGTAGCTCGTTGAGGTTTGTGTAATTTTTCTTTGCTGATGTGCTCTATTTTCTGCCTGTAGGCATTATAGGGAAGGACTTGTGGCTTGAACTAAAGCCTCACTTCAACGTGACTGAGCTCAAGGTCTCCGAGCCTCCAGCGGAGGAGGTTTCTCCCCTGAAAGTCAACCGGAAAAGAAAGAGGGGCGGGAGAGAGGTCGGGGGGACCTCTGCCCCTCGTGAAATAGGGGAGGTTGCCTCCAAGGCTGCTGAAGCCGGCGCGGTGGACCTTACTGGAAATCCGTCGTCGGAGGGGGCCGTTTGTGTGGCCGCCGAAGAGGTGGCGTCGACTGTTGAGCCTGTCGCTCATCCCGGCGAGGGGTTGGCCCAAGCTGCTGAGCGAGTTGTCCAGGCCGCCGTGGTGAGTACTTTTCCTTTCTTAGTCTTGTTTCTGTCTTCTACCTTTTATGTTGTTTTTCTACGTTTTGACTTGATGTTGTTTTCTATAGGCAGGGGATGCTACCGAGGAAGTGGTCCTTGTTGCCGGGTGGGCTACCCCAGCTGCCGAGGAGGTGATCCGGGCTGCTGTACCTACTACCCCGGTTGACGAGGTAAGCGGTTGGCCCTTCTGTGGCATTGACTTTTTACCCCTCTGTTTACTTTTTGTCTTAGGAGAGTATCGTTTCTTGCAGGCGGGGGACGTCGCTGGGGTTTCGGATCCTCCGATCTCAGGGGTGCCAGAAGGGAATCCTTCCGTGGTCGAGCAGGGGGTACCTGCGTCTACTTCCGCCGAGGCCCGTAGGGAGGGGTCGAGCTCCGGGATCCCTGCACCTGCTCTAGTTCCAAAGTCGAAGCGTCCATATCTTGCGCACTGCTATGCGCAAGAGGGTGCGCTGATGCAGTTAGAGCATTTGTGTGCGTCGGAGGAGATCGACTCTCTGTGGAGCGTCGCGGTGACTCCGGAGAAGTTTTTCCCAAAGGGGTCGCGGAGCATGGCTGATCAGGCGATGATTGAGTCGGCCGGGCCAATGGAGAGTTTTGATGCCGCCCAGATCTTCCTGCAGAGAGGCACGACCATTGTGGATCACTGGAAACACAAGTGGTCGAAACAGCAGGAAGACATGGCGAAGTTGAAGAGCCTGGTTCAGCCTCTAAAGGATGAGAATAGAGTCCTGAGGGAGGAGAACGGGGTTCTGACTACCGCCCTTGGCGAAGCGAAGATGCAAGGAGCCGAGCTCCAGGCGGCGAGGGGGGGCCTCGCCAGGGTCTAGAAGTCATTGGAGATCACCTTGCGCTCCAACGAAAGCTATGCCTCCCAAGTAAACGAGCTGCAGGGGTTTGTTACCTTGTCTAGAGGCGAGGTAATGTCTTCTCGGGGCCAGGTTTGCTCTTTGATAGATGAGGTCGCATTTTTTAAGAGTGAACTGGTGTCGGTAACCGAGGAGCGTCTCCGCGACGAGGTCATTATTAGTAGCAAAGAGGAGGAGATTGCTGCTCAGAAGGTAGACCTTTCGACGCTGGAGGCCGAGAAGGCGGCGCTGGAGAGAAGACTTGAGGAGGTAGAGCGTTCCATCGTGGTGGAGCATAAGAGGGGTTTCCTCAAGGCTGCTCGCCAGGCCAGGCTTCTTGCGCCGGGGTTTGACTTCTCCAGCATGCATGTGGAGAAGGTCGTTCGCTTTGGGAGGCTGGTAAAAGAGGATGACGTTGAGGATAGTTCCAGTGAGGATGCCTCTGTGTAGGCTATATCTGTAGTAGCCTGGGTTTATTTTTGTCTCTCTACTTTTCTTTTCCTCGAATTCATGTATTGAACTCGGTAAATATGGCTTTGTATATACGTATTTTGCTTTGTCTATTTGCGCTTAATTTTTGTTGTTTTGCGCGTTTTGAGACACGTTTGGTGTTTGTTGTATGTTTTTATGCGTGGTGATACTTTGCCCCGAGTTGGTCATGCCGAGGTTAGACCTCGACCTTGGTTTTTCGTTAAGTGAATCTTTTCGTGCAGGTTCGGATTCGACCTGTGTCAGTGAAAAGACAAAACTGACAACGTATTAATGAGGCCCCATCATGATGAGCACTACCATCATTGCGCAACCGTCATGCCCATTAACGCGCCAACCTCGCATTTCGAAATGTGAAACGACAATTGTGACACATGGCATCTTGACAGGCAGGCGTACGCGAAAGGTCACGGCCCCTTGACGAGCTCGGTCTCAACTCCTCGACCTACGGTCTTCGAAGCTCGGCCTAAGAATATGCTGTAAATATATTAGAACATGATGTTTTTTCCTTAACAATCAGCTACAGCAGCTTGTTATTTGCAAAGTTGATTCCCAACTAATTTCTTCATGAAGAAAGCAGTTGAAACCCTGGGATAAAATCTTGCCCTGTTAGAAACCAGAAAAGGATAATGTGAATTAGAGTTTAATAAACATGTTTACGAGTTATCAGCATAAAGAGAAATTACAGTGTAAAACTAAAAGGTTCTTCATTCAAAATACCACAAAAATTATGTAAATTGTGTGTATATAGTTCTAACTAACGAAATAAGAGACTTTAAAAAATAACAAACCCAACAAAGAAAAAATAGATTTATTATTATATACCTGACATTAGCTTCAAAATCTAGGGGATTTGGACTTGTGCTGCCACCGGAGCCATATGCATCATAGGCACCAATTGCTGTTTAAAAATAAAAAGATTAAACAGTTCATTGTTTTAACATTTTTCTTTTTGCAATAATTTTGAAAATGAAATCAAAATGATTTAACATTGATTAGTCAGCGTGATCAATCTCGTTACCTCGAGTACTATGATTATTATATATATGTCACTTATTGCTTATATTATTTTTCCATGGTGTATAACCAGGTTTCTATTTACCCATTGCAAAATGCAAGCCAACATATACAAAATTCTTCTGATTCTTTATTATTATTATTATTTTAATTTAATTAGAGTACACGACAACTAAATTTAAACTATATATTTAATGCAGGCATGTTCTATCACTTATCTAGTATGTGTTAGTTGATAGGCTTATTGAACTAATGCTTATTAGTGTTGATTTGTTTTTTTAATGTGTTGATTGCTATTAATTGAAATAGATATATTGCAGAGGGTGGCCTAACTGGGGAGCGCAAGCGGTGGGTGCCTCGAAGAGGTAAAACACCTCTAGATGCCAGGAGGAGTTGAAGTTGTACAATAAAAAGCTTATAAAGATGTTGCAGAATGAAGGACTTGCAGCTTTAGGGGATGGTGTATCTGAATCTGATTATATTAGAGTGCTGGAGAGGCTAAAGAAACTCATAAAGGGGCTCTGTTGTGGCTCTATTGGTGCAAAAATAAGCTTAATTTTTTTTTAAAAAAAAAATGAAATCTACATCGGTTCTCTAGAGAACCGATGTAGATTTGAGAACAAATCTACATCGGTTCTCTGGAGAACCGATGTAGATTTATGCTTAAATCTACATCGGTTTTTCAGAACCGATGTAAAAATGTATATATTTTCTACGTCGCTTTATTCTACATCGGTTTTAGAACCGATGTAAATACCTTTAAAGAACCGATGTAAAATATGCGTATTGTAGTAGTGTATATGTGATTTTTATGTTGTGAAACACCAAATTTAATTGAAGAACACTAAAAGTACATGCATCACCGATGTGTAAATGCATCTAAGTTTTGTCCGTAATCGAGATGGAAACATATACATGCGCATTGCTCGGTGAGGCTGAATTTAGCTACCGAGCTCAACGCGTAAGCAAGATAAGACACCGATTTAAAATTCAACTCTAATCAACGTTTTATTTATTGATTGATTTCCGCAATGCAAGTGCGGAATTCTATTAGATCCAACACTCTGCAGTATAACATGATTCATATTCACGAGAATAACAATTACGAGGAGTTAAACGAAAATTGCATCGAAAAATAGCAACGATACATAGCAAACGGAACGAAAAGCGTGAGAAGGTATAACGAAATTCAGAGAAGGAACGGAGAAAGTGAAGGATATGGTGAAGAGTGTGTGAACCTGTTGCTAGCGAGCGACCTGTTCCCGAAGCTTCGATACTTGCTTTCTGACAGCCCTAGCCCTTATTGCTTTCCTTCAATGGCAATTCACACCCAGTCACATTCTGGTAAATTCTCCAATTTTTTTTATTTAAAAAAAATAGATAAAATGTTTTGAAAAGAGACATGTTTCTCAAGGAAGGACCCAAGGGGCAATGAATGGTTATAGTTTAGGACGACCTCGGACACTCGCTGGGAGACCTCGACAAAGACGAGATCTGCTATCTAATTAGGTCATAACTGATCTCAGGCTCAAGGCCCAACGAAACCCTAATCCACACAAAGGTATGAGACAAGACTAGAAAGAATTCCACAAAATGACAAGCAAAAATTAAGGTAAATTTAGAAGGCTAGCACACAAAAGAACAACCTATGAATGGCACTAGAATGGATTACAAAATTAAAAGCTAAGAATAAAAAACAAAATAAGACTCAAATATGTGGCTGGATTAACAAAATATGTAGACAACAAATTACCAAAACCGAGAGCAAAGTTTGCTAAAATTTTCACTCCTTTGGCTTTTTTCTTTGCTATATTCTTTCTTTTCTTTTTAGCAAAATATTTTCCTCTTCCGATCTGATGTTGCATTTTGGTTTCTGCTTACTTGGAGGGTTAGATCACATTTTAGTTTTTATTTCTGGTTGATTTGGTGTTGTATTGCTATACTTATTCGTTATTATGTTTGTATTATATCAAATTTTAGTTTCTATTTTTGATTTGGTATTCTACTAGATGTTCAATTTTATCAAGTTGTTCTACTAACTTGGTTGATTTTCTTGGTTACAATCTACCTTTTTTTTATTGGCATTCTCCTTAGCATGATTTTACTGCAAGTTTAACTGGTTGATGTTGGATGATTAGAGAAATTGGCTACATTTAGGGCTGGAATTATTGTTGCTCTTATTTTCTTTAAAATTATAGTAGAATAAAAGAATGAGGGTGATCAGATAAAAGAATGACAGTGATCATATAAATTTTAGGACTAGAATTGTTGTTAGATATATTGTTGATTTAGGTGGAGACAAATAACTTATAATAGCTGCCTGGGAACAAATACCATGCCATAGTGGGCTGTTTCATGCTTTAATGTGGTTTGTTATTTTCATTTTGGTGGACAAGTTTTATAACCTTGATTTTCAGGATTTTTCTTCATTAGTTGTAGATGAAAATTAAAATTAATTACATATGCCATATAGTGTATTTTTTGTGTAAGTTAATTTGTTCTTTTTGTCTATTTTGATTTGTTTGTGGGTTTTGTTTAATCTTTTGATTTCATGCACATTTTCAAAAATCTGGCAGAGAATTATATATGTGTTTATTACAGGTTAAATTAGAAAGAACCTAAAATCAAACAATTTTTTTTTAAAAAAAATTAATAATCTACATCGGTTCAGACAGGAACAGATGTAAATGAGAGTATAATTTTACATCGGTTCTGTGTATAACCGATGTAAATTTGTGTATAATTTTACATCGGTTTTGTGAATAACCGATGTAAATTTGTGTACAAATTTACATCGGTTATACACAGAACCGATGTAAATTTGGGTACAAATTTACATCGGTTATACACAGAACCGATGTAAAATTATACAAAAATTTACATCGGTTTTAAAACCGATGTAAAATGGTATACATTTACTAAGTCACTCCATTCTACATCGGTTTTAGAACCGATATAGATAGTGTTAAAAAACCAATGTAGATAACATGTCTTGTAGTGTCGCCACCCGCCGAAACGGACCTTGGCATTCGCGACGATGGTTGGACTCTTTTTAAGTTTTGAAAAATGATGGATTGTTAGAACGACTTATTCTCAAACTGAGACCTCATCGAACTAACAATTTTATTAAATGATTCACCAATCCATGTTAATCCCAAGCGGGACCCTCCATGGATTAGTGGTTTTCGCAAAAAGAAGGGTTCTTGGAGTCGCCACCAATGTTTTACTCAAAACATTGGAAAAAGGGATAAGGCAATTGATTTTCGCAAATCAACCTTGGCCATTACAACCAGAGTTGGGTAAGGGAGTCGGTTACGTGCGGGGAAGGTGTTAGCACCCCACAACGCCCCTTTCGGGTTCCCTATGACGGATTATTTCATAAATAACAGTGTAAAATTACTAAATTACCCCTATTTATTAGAAACGA